CCACCCCCACCCCTGCATTTAACAATGATTTGATGTTTTGGCAATAATTAGGATTGATATTTACTTTTTTAAAATTAATTGGCAAGGGATGTAGTGGCCATGGTACGTGTGTTCTACAGCAAAAAATATGGCAGTTTAGCCTTCGAATCAATGCATCTATGTGTGGGTGCATAAGTAAAAATTTACCCAGTATTTTGCGTGCGCAAAGCGAAGCCCGGTCAGAATGAACACTTGTATAGATAGGCAAGCAAATGAATGGATAAATAAAAGCGTGAGCTTTTCGTGGTACGACGATGACGTCTCGAGTACATTCTTCCGGTTACCAAAAATTGCGGGAAATCGCTGATTCCGCGCCAACAAAGGAGGGGCAGAGAAGAGACAGCGGAACATTGATAAGTGTTGGAATAATCTTGGATTTGCATCTAAATACACGATTCTGGTCTGATCATTGTCTGTTCACTTGATTTTTCTTCGGAATTTACGTTATATTGGGAAAATGGAGCCAGGATTTGACGATGCTGGAGTTTACTACAGTGATAACTTCGGCACTGAAGACCAAGCAGATGAACAACAGATTGACAGACAGCAGGTGAAGCGTCGATTCAAGCAATTCATTCGAGAATTCCATGAGGGAAACTTCTCCTACCGTTACAGGTATAGTACCTAAGTTAGATCTAGAATTTAGATTAGTGTAGATCTACATTCACGACACCCTGAATCATCCACCATTTGCACAGAAGAGGCATGAAGGCCGGCTCTGTTTCTCCGAAGCTCGTGAAAATAAACTTTTGATTCAAGAACTCTTATTAAATTTCTCTGAACTGTTTACGTTCTCGAGATTTGTTGGTTATTTGTGAGGAGTGGCCCGCGTGTGAGTGTGGTGTGGGTACGCGCGCATGTGCAGGCCCTAGATCTAGATTAGATCTAGATCTAGATATATATCTAGATTTAAAATCTAGATCTAGATCTAGATCTATAAGGTGTGAATAGGAGGGAGGGGATAATGGTCAGCTGTAATGGGAAAAAACGATTTTCTGTAGATCTAGAAATCTAGATCTAGATCTAGATCTAGATCTAATTCTAAATCTAGACCCTTAATTTTATCCTTTCGCTTTCTTGTTCTCTATTCTTGCTCTGTGCTTTCATCCATATCAATCCCCCCACTTAACTACTAGATCTAATGCTTAGATTCTAGATGTAGATCTAGAATCTAGCTCCAGGAGTCAGAATAGGCTTATTTTATTATTCAAACTTTGCAAATATTTCAGAGATGAGCTGAAACGTCAGTACAACCTGAAACAGTTTTGGCTTGAAGTTGAACTTGATGACGTTGGAAGTTTTGACGAGGCTTTGGCTGAAAAATTGTTGAAGCAACCAACAGAACATCTGCATTTGGTAAGTACGGCTGAAATTTTCTCAATTTCTAATGAACTAATTACTAATTGGGTAAAATTTAGTGAGTTCTTTTCCCTGTAATTAATTCCTGATGACTTGATTTTTTAAAATATGATATTTCTCCTGAGGGAAGTGGCTATCCTCACCCTGGATGAGAATTATAAAAATACGATCTAGAATCGAAGTGATTATTCGGACTCGAGGCCGAATATGAAAAAATGTTATTCGGACTCTGGTTCTTGTCCAGCATGACATCACTTCCGACTTCCTGTGACTCGTGACTCCGGCTTC